TGTACTTGTTGTTTTGTCGTGGTTTATGTACTTGCTGTTTTGTCGTGATTTATGTACTTGTTGTTTTGTCGTGGTTTATGTACTTGTTGTTTTGTCGTGGTTTATGTACTTGTTGTTTCGTCGTGGTTTATGTACTTGTTTTGTCGTGGTTTATGTACTTGTTGTTTCGTCGTGGTTTATGTACTTGTTGTTTTGTCGTGGTTTATGTACTTGTTGTTTTGTCGTGGTTTATGTACTTGTTGTTTTGTCGTGGTTTATGTACTTGTTTTGTCGTGGTTTATGTACTTGTTTTGTCGTAGTTTATGTACTTGTTTCGTCGTGGTTTATGTACTTGTTTTTTCGTGGTTTATGTACTTGTTTTGTCGTGGTTTATGTACTTGTTGTTTCGTCGTGGTTTATGTACTTGTTTTGTCGTGGTTTATGTACTTGTTGTTTTGTCGTGGTTTATGTACTTGTTGTTTTGTCGTGGTTTATGTACTTGTTTTGTCGTGGTTTATGTACTTGTTTCGTCGTAGTTTATGTACTTGTTGTTTTGTCGTGGTTTATGTACTTGTTGTTTTGTCGTGGTTTATGTACTTGTTGTTTCGTCGTAGTTTATGTACTTGTTGTTTTGTCGTGGTTTATGTAACTTGTTGTTTTGTCGTGGTTTATGTAACTTGTTGTTTTGTCGTGGTTTATGTAACTTGTTGTTTTGTCGTGGTTTATGTAACTTGTTGTTTTGTCGTGGTTTATGTACTTGTTGTTTCGTCGTGGTTTATGTACTTGTTGTTTTGTCGTGGTTTATGTAACTTGTTGTTTTGTCGTGGTTTATGTAACTGTGTTTTGTCGTGGTTTATGTACTTGTTGTTTTGTCGTGGTTTATGCACTTGTTGTTTTGTCGTGGTTTATGTACTTGTTGTTTCGTCGTAGTTTATGTACTTGTTGTTTTGTCGTGGTTTATGTAACTTGTTGTTTTGTCGTGGTTTATGTAACTTGTTTTTTGTCGTGGTTTATGTAACTTGTTGTTTTGTCGTGGTTTATGTAACTTGTTGTTTTGTGGTGGTTTATGTACTTGTTGTTTTGTGGTGGTTTATGTACTTGTTGTTTCGTCGTGGTTTATGCACTTGTTGTTTCGTCGTGGTTTATGTAACTTGTTGTTTTGTCGTGGTTTATGTAACTTGTTTTGTCGTGGTTTATGTACTTGTTGTTTTGTGATGGTTTATGTACTTGTTGTTTTGTCGTGGTTTATGTACTTGTTTCGTCGTGGTTTATGTACTTGTTTTGTCGTGGTTTATGTAACTTATTTTGTCGTGGTTTATGTAACTTGTTTTGTGTCGTGGTTTATAGTACTTGTTGTTTTGTCGTGGTTTATGTAACTTGTTGTTTTGTCGTGGTTTATGTAACTTGTTGTTTTGTCGTGGTTTTATGTACTTGTTGTTTTGTGGTGGTTTATGTAACTTGTTGTTTTCTCGTGGTTTATGTACTTGTTGTTTTGTCGTGGTTTATGTAACTTGTTGTTTTGTTGTGGTTTATGTAACTTGTTGTTTTGTCGTGGTTTATGTAACTTGTTGTTTTGTCGTGGTTTATGTACTTGTTGTTTTGTCGTGGTTTATGTACTTGTTGTTTTGTCGTGGTTTATGTAAATTGTTGTTTTGTCGTGGTTTATGTACTTGTTTTGTCGTGGTTTATGTAACTTGTTGTTTTGTCGTGGTTTATGTAACTTGTTGTTTTGTCGTGGTTTATGTACTTGTTGTTTTGTCGTGGTTTATGTAACTTGTTGTTTTGTCGTGGTTTATGTACTTGTTTTGTCGTGGTTTATGTAACTTGTTGTTTTGTCGTGGTTTATGTAACTTGTTTTGTCGTGGTTTATGTACTTGTTATATCATGGTTAGGTTTTATCTCTTGTCTTGTTTATTGTTGTTTTTCGCATTGCTTTATTAAGTAATTTGATGTTGTTAAGTTATTTTACAATTGTTAATGTTCACGTATCTTTTATTATTATTATTATTTGTTGTAGTTTGTTGTTGTTGTTATTGTTTTATAGTGTGGTGTAAATTATTGTTGTTGCTGCTGTTGTTGTTGTTGTTGTTGTTGTTGTTGTTTTATAAATGTTTGCTTGTAGAGTTCTATAATTTAGTTTTTAATTGATGTATGACTAATGTATAACGTTGAGTGAATGTATGACCGTCAGTGTATAGTGTCATACGTTGTGAGTGTATATATGAACAACGTATAATGTATGTTGTAAGCGATTTATATTACGTTGTGAGTGTATATATGACTAACGTATAATGCTGGATGTTGTAAGCGAATTTAGGATCTATAATGCAGTGTTGTATGTTGTAAATGAATGTATAACTAGTGTATAATGTATGGTGTTCAGTATTCTTTTGGCTCTAGTTCTTTGTATGTAAATCCCACAGCTTTATTTCGCGTCGTGTCCCCTAACGACTTCCTTATAGCCCGTGCAGGGCTGGAAGGTGAACGTTCATGCAGGGCTGGAAGGTGAACGTTCATGCAGGGCTGGAAGGTGAACGTTCATGCAGGGCTGGAAGGTGAACGTTCATGCAGGGCTGGAAGGTGAACGTTCATGCAGGGCTGGAAAGTGAACGTTCATGTAGGGCTGGAAGGCGAACGTTCATGCAGGGCTGGAAGGCGAACGTTCATGCAGGGCTGGAAGGCGAACGTTCATGCAGGGCTGGAAGGCGAACGTTCATGCAGGGCTGGAAGGCGAACGTTCATGCAGGGCTGGAAGGTGAACGTTCATGCAGGGCTGGAAGGTGAACGTTCATGCAGAGCTGGAAGGTGAACATTCATGCAGGGTTGGAAGGTGATCGTTCATGCAGGGCTGGAAGGTGCACGTTCATGCAGGGCTGGAAGGTGAACGTTCATGCAGGACTGGAAGGTGCACGTTCATGCAGGGCTGGAAGGTGAACGCTCATGCAGCGCTTGAAGGTGTACGTTCATGCAGGACTGGAAGGTGCACGTTCATGCAGGGCTGGAAGGTGAACGCTCATGCAGCGCTTGAAGGTGTACGTTCATGCAGGACTGGAAGGTGCACGTTCATGCAGGGCTGGAAGGTGAACGTTCATGCAGGGTTGGAAGGTGAACGCTCATGCAGCGCTTGAAGGTGTACGTTCATGCAGGACTGGAAGGTGCACGTTCATGCAGGGCTGGAAGGTGAACGTTCATGCAGGGCTGGAAGGTGAACGCTCATGCAGCGCTTAAAGGTGTACGTTCTGGTGTTGCCAGAATGAACTGTCCATTAATTAATGGACGCCTCACTGAGTCAAGTGAGCTTTGAGGGAGACCCGTACTGAAGGTTACTCTCGGGTAAAAATATTGGTATAGGTAATGAGAGATATCATGGGTAATGAGACAGTTCATGTATAGTGAGAAGCATCACGGGTAGTGAGAAGCATCACGGGTAGTGAGAAAGATAACAGGTAGTGAGAAGCATCACGGGTAGTGAGAAGCATCACGGGTAGTGAGAAAGATAACAGGTAGTGAGAAGCATCACGGGTAGTGAGAAAGATAACAGGTAGTGAGAAGCATCACGGGTAGTGAGAAAGATAACAGGTAGTGAGAAGCATCACGGTAGTGAGAAAGATAACAGGTAGTGAGAAGCATCACGGGTAGTGAGAAAGATAACAGGTAGTGAGAAGCATCACGGGTAGTGAGAAAGATAACAGGTAGTGAGAAGCATCACGGGTAGTGAGAAAGATAACAGGTAGTGAGAAGCATCACGGGTAGTGAGAAAGATAACAGGTAGTGAGAAGCATCACGGGTAGTGAGAAAGATAACAGGTAGTGAGAAGCATCACGGGTAGTGAGAAAGATAACAGGTAATGAAAAACATCACAGGTAGTGAGAAGGATCATCAGAGGTTATGATCTGTTTAGATGGTAGTGAAGAGGCAGACTACAAGGGAAGGAGTCGGGGTTGTAAGTGTGTGTTAGAGGGTCGCTGATTTACGTTAAGGTTCTTAACCGCACCGAGAATGTAGTCGAGGTTCTTGACAGCGAAAATTAAGAAGGGAAAGTTAGTTTTTGTTCTCATATAAAAGCCATTATGCCTGGAGGGTGTTCCGGGGGTCAGTGCCCCCGAGGCCCGTCCATGACCAAGCCTCACGGTGGATCAGGGACTGATCAACCAGGATGTTACTGTTGGCCGCACGTACATACGAACCACAGCCTGGCTGGTCAGTGTTGAAAAAAAATTTAACACCGACTTGGAACTCTGTCTAACCAAAAACAAAACAAGTAATCAACTTTACTTCTTTGTGTAGTATACAATGTGTATACAATGTGTAGTTTATATGTAATAAACAAAAAAAGCCACTAGCATACATATGCATTTCAGTGGACTAATCCTAATGGTTACACACTACTTAAGACAAGACATGGTCAGTGGTAAATTTGAGTTTAGTATTATTACAAACAGAGAGGTACCAAAAAATATTAAAGTTAGTACAATTTACAATAGTACAATTTAAAGTGTGTATCAATACTTTAAAGTGATTTAGTGATTCCAAAAATACCTTTGCACTGTGATTTTAATTTCCAGCAACTACCTAACTAATATATCAAATATTACTATTCCAGAGTAGGTGTAAGGTGACAGTTTGGCTGAGCAGTCAGGTAGTATTTAACTGTTAGGACTGTGTTAAGCTCACTTTAGTCAGCAAATAGTGGAATCATCAGACTAGAAAATACCCTTGACCTTATATTCACAATGACGATCCTGTGTACAGAACATAACTATGTCAAAACAGCAAACTGGGACCACAACATAATTGAAATAGTGATACACGCACACTGCTCTTAAGGAACCCAACACAAACACGTGAAGGCACTGGCACTAGACGTTTTCTTCTTCATTATTATTATTATTATTATTATTATTATTATTATTATTATTATTATTATTATTATTATTATTATTATTATTATTGCAGGAGGTGCTGAGTAAGCATGGGAGAGAGACTGTATCATAAAATTATTATTATTATTATTATTGCAGGAGGTGCTGAGTGAGCATGGGAGAGGGTGGGCAGCTCCTCTCTCCTCTCTGGATCCCCTTGATACCATCTTCGTGAAGCACGTGAGGCCAGGATCAGCAGCTCACCTGGCTGGCCTCAGGACAGGTGAGTCACTAACCTGCCTGCCACCACTGTCTTCCCCCCTTTCCCTCATCTCTCTTTCTCTTATTCATTCTCTTATTTTTTTCTCTCTCTCTTTTCTCATATTTTTTCTCTCATTCTTTCTCTCTTATTTTTCCTATCTCTTATTTTCTCTCTCTTCTCTCATTTTCTTTCTTTCTCTTATTTTTTCTTTCTCTCTCTTATTCTTTGTCTCTCTTACTCTTTGTCTGTCTTTCTTTCTCCTATTTTTTTTTTCTCTCTCTCATGGTGGAAAACTAATTTCCAACATTTCTCTTGAGAACTGAATATTCTTGGTTACATTATCTTCCTTAAAGAGTAACCACCTGATCAAGAAGGACAAGGATAGTCCTCCACCTGATCAAGAAGGACAAGGATAGTCCTCCACCTGATCAAGAAGGACAAGGATAGTCCTCCACCTGAACAAGACAGAAGGATAGTCCTCCACCTGATCAAGACGGACAAGGATAGTCCTCCACTTGAACAAGAAGGACAGAAGGATAGTCCTCCACCTGAACAAGAAGGTCAGAAGGATAGTCCTCCACTTGAACAAGAAGGACAGAAGGATAGTCCTCCACCTGAACAAGAAGGACAGAAGGATAGTCCTCCACCTGAACAAGAAGGTCAGAAGGATAGTCCTCCACTTGAACAAGAAGGACAGAAGGATAGTCCTCCACCTGAACAAGAAGGACAGAAGGATAGTCCTCCACCTGAACAAGAAGGTCAGAAGGATAGTCCTCCACTTGAACAAGAAGGACAGAAGGATAGTCCTCCACCTGAACAAGAAGGACAGAAGGATAGTCCTCCACCTGAACAAGAAGGTCAGAAGGATAGTCCTCCATCTCAACAAGAAGGACAGAAGGATAGTCCTTCACCTTAGCAAGAAGGACAGAAGGATAGTCCTCCACTTGAACAAGAAGGACAGAAGGATAGTCCTCCACTTGAACAAGAAGGGCAGAAGGATAGTCCTCCATCTGAACAAGAAGGATAGTCCTCCACTTGAACAAGAAGGACAGAAGGATAGTCCTCCACTTGAACAAGAAGGGCAGAAGGATAGTCCTCCATCTGAACAAGAAGGATAGTCCTTCACTTGAACAAGAAGGGCAGAAGGATAGTCCTCCATCTGAACAAGAAGGACAGAAGGATAGTCCTCCACTTGAACAAGAAGGACAGAAGGATAGTCCTCCACCTGAGCAAGAAGGACAGAAGGATAGTCCTCCACTTGAACAAGAAGGGCAGAAGGATAGTCCTCCATCTGAACAAGAAGGATAGTCCTTCACTTGAACAAGAAGGGCAGAAGGATAGTCCTCCATCTGAACAAGAAGGACAGAAGGATAGTCCTCCACTTGAACAAGAAGGACAGAAGGATAGTCCTCCACTTGAACAAGAAGGACAGAAGGATAGTCCTCCACTTGAACAAGAAGGGCAGAAGGATAGTCCTCCATCTGAACAAGAAGGACAGAAGGATAGTCCTCCACTTGAACAAGAAGGACAGAAGGATAGTCCTCCACCTGAGCAAGAAGGACAGAAGGATAGTCCTTTACTTAAACAAGAAGGGCAGAAGGATAGTCCTCCACCTGAACAAGAAGGACAGAAGGATAGTCCTTTACTTAAACAAGAAGGGCAGAAGGATAGTCCTCCACCTGAACAAGAAGGACAGAAGGATAGTCCTCCACTTGAACAAGAAGGGCAGAAGGATAGTCCTCCACTTGAACAAGAAGGACAGAAGGATAGTCCTCCACTTGAACAAGAAGGGCAGAAGGATAGTCCTCCACTTGAACAAGAAGGACAGAAGGATAGTCCTCCACTTGAACAAGAAAGACAGAAGGATAGTCCTCCACTTGAACAAGAAGGGCAGAAGATAGTCCTCCACTTGAACAAGAAGGACAGAAGGATAGTCCTCCACTTGAACAAGAAGGGCAGAAGGATAGTCCCCACTTGAACAAGAAGGGCAGAAGGATAGTCCTCCACTTGAACAAGAAGGATAGTCCTCCACTTGAACAAGAAGGACAGAAGGATAGTCCTCCACTTGAACAAGAAGGACAGAAGGATAGTCCTCCACTTGAACAAGAAGGGCAGAAGGATAGTCCTCCACTTGAACAAGAAGGACAGAAGGATAGTCCTCCACTTGAACAAGAAGGGCAGAAGGATAGTCCTCCACTTGAACAAGAAGACAGAAGGATAGTCCTCCACTTGAACAAGAAGGACAGAAGGATAGTCCTCCACTTGAACAAGAAGGGCAGAAGGATAGTCCTCCACTTGAACAAGAAGGACAGAAGGATAGTCCTCCACTTGAACAAGAAGGCAGAAGGATAGTCCTCCACTTGAACAAGAAGGACAGAAGGATAGTCCTCCACTTGAACAAGAAGGGCAGAAGGATAGTCCTCCACTTGAACAAGAAGGACAGAAGGATAGTCCTCCACTTGAACAAGAAGGGCAGAAGGATAGTCCTCCACTTGAACAAGAAGGACAGAAGATAGTCCTCCACTTGAACAAGAAGGGCAGAAGGATAGTCCCTCCACTTGAACAAGAAGGACAGAAGGATAGTCCTCCACTTGAACAAGAAGGACAGAAGGATAGTCCTCCACTTGAACAAGAAGGGCAGAAGGATAGTCCTCCACTTGAACAAGAAGGACAGAAGGATAGTCCTCCACCTGAACAAGAAGGGCAGAAGGATAGTCCTCCACCTGAACAAGAAGGGCAGAAGGATAGTCCTCCACCTGAACAAGAAGGGCAGAAGGATAGTCCTCCACCTGAACAAGAAGGACAGAAGGATAGTCCTCCACTTGAACAAGAAGGGCAGAAGGATAGTCCTCCACTTGAACAAGAAGGGCAGAAGGATAGTCCTCCACTTGAACAAGAAGGGCAGAAGGATAGTCCTCCACTTGAACAAGAAGGACAGAAGGATAGTCCTCCACCTGAACAAGAAGGGCAGAAGGATGGTCCTCCACCTGAACAAGAAGGGCAGAAGGATAGTCCTCCACCTGAACAAGAAGGGCAGAAGGATAGTCCTCCACCTGAACAAGAAGGACAGAAGGATAGTCCTCCTCTTGAACAAGAAGGACAGAAGGATAGTCCTCCACCTGAGCAAGAAGGACAGAAGGATAGTCCTCCACTTGAACAAGAAGGACAGAAGGATAGTCCTCCACCTGAACAAGAAGGGCAGATGGATAGTCCTCCACTTGAATAAGAAGGACAAGGATAGTCCTCCACTTGAACAAGGAGGACAGAAGGATAGTCCTCCACTTGAACAAGAAGGGCAGAAGGATAGTCCTCCACTTGAACAAGAAGGACAGAAGGATAGTCCTCCACTTGAACAAGAAGGGCAGAAGGATAGTCCTCCACTTGAACAAGAAGGGCAGAAGGATAGTCCTCCACTTGAACAAGAAGGGCAGAAGGATAGTCCTCCACTTGAACAAGAAAGGACAGAAGGATAGTCCTCCACTTGAACAAGAAGGACAGAAGGATAGTCCTCCACTTGAACAAGAAGGGCAGAAGGATAGTCCTCCACTTGAACAAGAAGGACAGAAGGATAGTCCTCCACTTGAACAAGAAGGACAGAAGGATAGTCCTCCACCTGAACAAGAAGGGCAGAAGGATAGTCCTCCACTTGAACAAGAAGGGCAGAAGGATAGTCCTCCTCTTGAACAAGAAGGACAGAAGGATAGTCCTCCACTTGAACAAGAAGGGCAGAAGGATAGTCCTCCACTTGAACAAGAAGGGCAGAAGGATAGTCCTCCACTTGAACAAGAAGGGCAGAAGGATAGTCCTCCACTTGAACAAGAAGGATAGTCCTCCACTTGAACAAGAAGGACAGAAGGATAGTCCTCCACTTGAACAAGAAGGGCAGAAGGATAGTCCTCCACTTGAACAAGAAGGGCAGAAGGATAGTCCTCCACTTGAACAAGAAGGATAGTCCTCCACTTGAACAAGAAGGACAGAAGGATAGTCCTCCACTTGAACAAGAAGGGCAGAAGGATAGTCCTCCACTTGAACAAGAAGGATAGTCCTCCACTTGAACACGAAGGACAGAAGGATAGTCCTCCACTTGAACAAGAAGGGCAGAAGGATAGTCCTCCACTTGAACAAGAAGGACAGAAGGATAGTCCTCCACTTGAACAAGAAGGGCAGAAGGATAGTCCTCCACTTGAACAAGAAGGGCAGAAGGATAGTCCTCCACTTGAACAAGAAGCATAAGGTGGTCAGCTAAATAAGCATGTACATCATAAACACACACATCATTAATGTGTCATAAACGACACGTACATCATAAGTATGCATCATATATGACATGTACATCATAAGTATGCATCATATATGACATGTGCATCATAAGTATGCATCATATATGACATGTACATCATAAGTATGCATCATATATGACATGTACATCATAAGTATGCATCATATATGACATGTACATCATAAGTATGCATCATATATGACATGTACATCATAAGTATGCATCATATATGACATGTACATCATAATATGCATCATATATGACATGTACATCATAAGTATGCATCATATATGACATGTACATCATAAGTATGCATCATATATGACATGTACATCATAAGTATGCATCATATATGACACGTACATCATAGTATGCATCATATATGACATGTACATCATAAGTATGCATCATATATGACATGTACATCATAAGTATGCATCATATTATGACATGTACATCATAAGTAGCATCATATATGACATGTGCATCATAAGTATGCATCATATATGACATGTGCATCATAAGTATGCATCATATATGACATGTGCATCATAAGTATGCATCATATATGACATGTACATCATAAGTATGCATCATATATGACATGTGCATCATAAGTATGCATCATATATGACATGTGCATCATAAGTATGCATCATATATGACATGTGCATCATAAGTATGCATCATATATGACATGTACATCATAAGTATGCATCATATATGACATGTACATCATAAGTATGCATCATATATGACATGTACATCATAAGTATGCATCATATATGACATGTACATCATAAGTATGCATCATATATGACATGTACATCATAAGTATGCATCATATATGACATGTACATCATAAGTATGCATCATATATGACATGTACATCATAAGTATGCATCATAAATGGCACGTACATCATAAGCATGCATCATAAATGGCATGTACATCATAAACAACACGTACATCATAAATGTACATAAACGACATGTACATCATAAACGATACGTGCATCATAAACACTATGTATATCTTAAACCATTTGTACATTATACATGACATTTACTATTTACTATATTCTACAACTTATTAATTCAGTTACTTTGATGATTTATGTCATCTGTCTACTGTATTCTGTAACTATTGTAAGGTATTTTTAATCTTTTAAGCTTTTCTCTCTATAATACAACAGTATGTAATGTAACACTGTACCATGGAAAATAATCGTTATTTTTTTGCCATTTGTATGTTGAAATCCAGTGAAATAATAATAGAATTATGTTAGGCCTAGGCTACAGAGCATCAAAACAGTGAGAATTATAAGTAAATCTTACCATAGTTAATATTATTTTTAACACACTAGCCGCCATCCTCCTAGGTAAGGTGACCCAAGAAAGGAAACACATTCATCATCACTTATTCAGTATCTGTCTTGCCAGAAGTGAGCAGACACTACAGTTCAAATAACCCTGCAATTGTTAGATAGTGAGCACCCAGGGAGGTACTGTACGTATATGAAGGGCTAGGACATCCAACAGTCATGTGTGAACATGTTAGATAGCTGTGAGTGGAGGCAAATACTCTTCATGATTTGACGAGCTGTTGAAGTGTGACCGAGGTAAGATTTATGAAACGATTCAGAGAAACCGGTTAGCTGGTCATGATATGCTGTTTAGAGGAGCATCTGAGCTGTAGTATTCGGTGAGCCTCTAGCAAGACAGTGATGAAGTGAGTAATGGTGAATTTTTTGGGGGGAGATGGCCAGTATGTTGAAAGAAAATCCACTGGGTCAGCTGATTCTCAAACAACAGACACAGTCTGTGGGTTACATAATTATGTTATTGTATTATAGCAAAAAACTTTCTTCTCAGTCCACCACCAACCACTACTTTCCCTATTAACCTGCTAATTTGATGGTTTTCTTGACAAATAAATTTGTATGAAAACACAGATTCTTCTCACTTTACAATGGTTTGACTTGATATTTTGACTTTATGATGGTATGATAGTGATCCACATTTTTACTGTACAGCCTCTCCTCACTTAGTGACGTACTCGTTTACCGATGCCTCGGACTTACGATTGGCTCTCTGACCAGTATTTATACCTAAATAATTTATATTAGAGCTGATTTCCTCTATTCTGTTTATTTCAGTATACAGTACACTACTGCATAAACATTTAATATATACCAGAAATGTTATAAATGGTGCAAAGGTGACATTAAAACAATATCAAAGATGGTCGACACAAATTCACTCCCGTTATAGTATGCTCCTCACTTAGCGACGAATTTGTTTAACGTGATCTTAGGAACAGAACTCCATCATTAAGTGAGGAGAGGCCAGCCTCTCCTCACTTAACGATGAGGTTCCGTTCCTAAGACCACATTGGTAAACGAATTTGCCGCTAAGTGAGGAGCATACTATAATGGTAGTGGGTCTGTGTCAACCATCTCTGATATTGTTTTAATATCATCTTTACATCATTTAAAACATATCTGGTATATTTTTAAATGTTTATACAGCAGCGTACTGTACGTATATTGTAATAAACAGAATTGAGGAAATCAGATCTAATATACATTGTTTAGGTATGTATACTGGTCAGAGAGCCCAACGTAAGTCTGAGTCGTTGGTAAACAAGTACATGTCACTTTTATCCATTAAGATGTGTATTTTGTAACCGATAAAGGAACTAGTTATTTATTATTAACTTACTGAATTTGTTTTTCAGGTGATCGTGTAGTGAGTGTCAATGGTGAGAGCGTTGGGTCACGCACTTACCAGGAGGTTGTAGCTACCATACAACGCTCACCACCCACACTGGAACTCATGGTAGTACCTCGGGAACAGGATCTACTGCAGCAGGCTAGTATCTAACGTGTGAAATTTTTTTTTAATTATTACTTTGTGTGTGTCCATTCACAGGTAATATGCTGCAGTGGTGTTTAATACGTATTTAGCTTTGTTTGTGGAGTAGAGGAATATTATTGTAGTCATTATAGTCCACTGGCCGAGTTCCTCTGCTGGAGTGCTTTACAAACGTGATTAAGACACGTGTGCAACAGTTGGGTATCTTTATTGTCTCTCAGCCTATAGAAGAGTTCAGCTCCAGTTACCTACTTACTGCTAGGTCAATAGGGACAGCAGGTGTAAGGAAACATGCTCTTTTTCCATCTGTGCTGGAGATTGAACCACAGACACTCAGTGTGTGTGGCGAGTGCATTGTCTACCAAGCCACACAGATAACAACAATAACTGGTTACCCACACAAAAATGTTTGTACTAAAATTTACTGAATAATTAAGATATGTGTAATATGTCGTAAAATATGAAGTACGCTATTATTATTATTAAATTTTTATTACTGCTATTATTATTGCTATTCATAGGTAAGCACTAAACCTATTAAGTGTCATCAAGTTCCTGGGAAATGGGAAGTAAGTGGGCTTGATCTGAGGAAGGGGATGGTAGCTCTAGTTCCTCGACTCACAAGTTTCTCAGTGGCATCAAGGTACTCTTTGAATGTTGTGCAGTACAGTAAAAAAGAATGCAGCTGTATGATGTGTAACTTGTATCAGCCTCTAGTGTTTTCATCTCTATAATGTTGTTTTATTTTGGTAACTGTACCTCTCTGTAGTCAAGAAACAAATTACATACTGTATTTACAATATGTACTGTTCAGCCTCTCCTCACTTAGTGACGTACTTGTTCAACAGACCACTCAGACTTACCACAGACTCTCTGACCAGTATGCATACCTAAAAGAGGGGGGATAAGTCTGTTGAGTGTACCTGGTAAAGTGTATGGTAGAGTTATAATTGAAAGAATTAAGAGTAAGACGGAGAATAGGATAGCAGATGAACAAGGAGGCTTTAGGAAAGGTAGGGGGTGTGTGGACCAGGTGTTTACAGTGAAACATATAAGTGAACAGTATTTAGATAAGGCTAAAGAGGTCTTTGTGGCATTTATGGATTTGGAAAAGGCATATGACAGGGTGGATAGGGGGGCAATGTGGCAGATGTTGCAAGTGTATGGTGTAGGAGGTAGGTTACTGAAAGCAGTGAAGAGTTTTTACGAGGATAGTGAGGCTCAAGTTAGAGTATGTAGGAAAGAAGGAAATTTTTTCCCAGTAAAGGTAGGCCTTAGACAAGGATGTGTGATGTCACCGTGGTTGTTTAATATATTTATAGATGGGGTTGTAAGAGAAGTAAATGCGAGGGTCTTGGCAAGAGGCGTGGAGTTAAAAGACAAAGAATCACACACAAAGTGGGAGTTGTCACAGCTGCTCTTTGCTGATGACACTGTGCTCTTGGGAGATTCTGAAGAGAAGTTGCAGAGATTGGTGGATGAATTTGGTAGGGTGTGCAAAAGAAGAAAATTAAAGGTGAATACAGGAAAGAGTAAGGTTATGAGGATAACAAAAAGATTAGGTGATGAAAGATTGAATATCAGATTGGAGGGAGAGAGTATGGAGGAGGTGAATGTATTCAGATATTTGGGAGTGGACGTGTCAGCGGATGGGTCTATGAAAGATGAGGTGAATCATAGAATTGATGAGGGAAAAAGAGTGAGTGGTGCACTTAGGAGTCTGTGGAGACAAAGAACTTTGTCCTTGGAGGCAAAGAGGGGAATGTATGAGAGTATAGTTTTACCAACGCTCTTATATGGGTGTGAAGCGTGGGTGATGAATGTTGCAGCGAGGAGAAGGCTGGAGGCAGTGGAGATGTCATGTCTGAGGGCAATGTGTGGTGTGAATATAATGCAGAGAATTCGTAGTTTGGAAGTTAGGAGGAGGTGCGGGATTACCAAAACTGTTGTCCAGAGGGCTGAGGAAGGGTTGTTGAGGTGGTTCGGACATGTAGAGAGAATGGAGCGAAACAGAATGACTTCAAGAGTGTATCAGTCTGTAGTGGAAGGAAGGCGGGGTAGGGGTCGGCCTAGGAAGGGTTGGAGGGAGGGGGTAAAGGAGGTTTTGTGTGCGAGGGGCTTGGACTTCCAGCAGGCATGCGTGAGCGTGTTTGATAGGAGTGAATGGAGACAAATGGTTTTTAATACTTGACGTGCTGTTGGAGTGTGAGCAAAGTAACATTTATGAAGGGATTCAGGGAAACCGGCAGGCCGGACTTGAGTCCTGGAGATGGGAAGTACAGTGCCTGCACTCTGAAGGAGGGGTGTTAATGTTGCAGTTTAAAAACTGTAGTGTAAAGCACCCTTCTGGCAAGACAGTGATGGAGTGAATGATGGTGAAAGTTTTTCTTTTTCGGGCCACCCTGCCTTGGTGGGAATCGGCCGGTGTGATAATAAAAAAAAAAAAAAAAAATTTTTATTACAATATAGAGTACACTACTGTATAAACATTTAAAAGTATACCAGAAATGTTATAAATGGTGCAAAGGTGACATTAAAACAATATCAAAGATGGTTGACACAAACTCACTACCATTATAGTATGATCCTCACTTAACGACGAATTCGTTTACCGACATGGTCTTAGGAACGAAACTCCATCATTAAGTGAGGAGAGGCTGTTTTTACAATACATACTGTATTTACGTACTGTATTCACAATGTGTATTATATTTACAATACTTCTTTCTTTCAACACACCGGTTGTATCCCACCAAGGCGGGGTGGCCCAAAAGGAAAAATGAAAGTTTCTCCTTTTACATTTAGTAATATATACAGGAGAAGGGGTTACTAGCCCCTTGCCCCTGGCATTTTAGTTGCCTCTTACAACACGCCTGGCTTACGGAGGAAGAATTCTGTTCCACTTCCCCATGGAGATAAGAGGAAATAAACAAGAACAAGAACTAGAAAGAAAATAGCAGAAACCCCAGAGGGGTGTGTATATATATGCTTGTACAAGTGTGTGTAGTGTGACCTAAGTGTAAGTAGAAGTAGCAAGACGTACCTGTAATCTTGCATATTTATGAGACAGACAAAAGACACCAGCAATCCTACCATCATGTAAAACAATTACAGGCTTTTGTTTCACACTCACTTGGCAGGACGGTACCACCCCTCTGGATGGTTGCTGTCTACCAACCTACTACCTAAATTTACAATACATATTGTATTAAAAATATAGTATGTATTGCAATTTTTTGTAAATACAGTTGAAAAGTATACAGTTGGTCCTCGACTTACATTGGGGTAATGTTCCAACAAAACCATCACAAGCTGAATATGAATATGATATGGTAAATAAATAAGTACACGTAAATGAATAACCACTGTCACTGAATAAGTAACTCAACAAATAATTACTGAAACTAACTAAATACAAGTATTGAAAAGTAAATAAATGAATACAAGTTATGGACTTGCCGCCTTCATACTGGGTAATTATTTTAGGTTTCATCCCCATAGTAATTGCTTTTGTACCATCATAAAGTTGAAATATCATAAGTTGAACCATAGTAAGTAAAGGAGCACCTGTATATAGGAGGGACTCATACAGCAGGTTAGGTTCTGGGCTACTGCTGTACAGGAGGGCCTCACTTACACAGCAGGTTAGGTTCTTGGCTACTGCAGTAAAGCAGAAATTGCTGTAAAGCAAATCAGTCTTTTTTCACTTTCATATGTATATAAAAGCCTGAAAACATGTTTACATTATCATATATTAAGTGAGCAATAGAGCTATGCCTAAAAAGTGCATGTACAGTACACACACTATTTGCCTTAACAAAATTTTCATCCATATTGGTGAATATATTTATTGTAGGAAGTCTGAATAAATGAAGAATGGGTATAGTTGAAAACTGCTGTATTAGTGAAATGCTACAAAGTGCTGTAAAGTGGGACCCTCCTGTATTCAAAATTGAATTATGTTTCAAAAGGCCTCCTCAGTATGTTCTATAAAAAAATTTTTATGCACTTTCTCAGTTGCATTTACAAAATATCACACTATGTAGAGGAGCTTTATAAGAGAACTTACTATATTTCCAATATGAATTGAATTAAAACATTGATAATAATTATTTATTTTTCTTTTCAGGTGTTTGGAGAAACTGCTCACAATCCCGAGAGTAACTTGGACATAAGAATGCCCAGTCCTGGTCACCTGCCCATGCAATACCCCATTAGACATCCCACAACAGCTAGTCTGACTCACTTGGCTCTAGGTGTGCCACCAATGCAATACCCTCCAAGTCTGTCACAATCTACTTGGTCTTCTCAGTCTTCTTTGACATCACACTTGTCTGCAATGTCTACAGGTCCTCACTTGCCAGCTGTCATGGTGGCTCATCCACCGTTCCATCAAAAGCCTCATCAACCTTCTAATGTTTCTCAACCACATGGAGCACATATTCCCATTCATTCTCACCATCAACAGTTAAACATCCGTGGGAATCACTCATCTGTGCCATACAGACCTGGTACCAGAAAACACTCGCTTTCTGCTGGAGGTGATAAACAATCAGCAGCAGCATCTAGTAATAGGAAACAGTCATTATCTGGTATGGCAGACAGAAGGCAAGCTGTCTATACCATTCAGAATAGTCTGTCATCTGTGCCTCATCATGTGCCTTCATTACCAGGGAAGCAAAGTCCCTTGCCTACAAGTACAAATACATTGGGAAGTTCAACACACTCTTCTTTAAATGAACCTTCTAATAATTCTGTATTTGGTGTTTACGAACCAATTCTTGACCGAGCTATGGGAAGAGGGAGTTTCAGGGACAGCAGGAGACTGGAACGTGACCCTGATGGGCGTATATATGAAGTTGTGCAGACTAGATATGTAGATAATAAACATAAAAGTGGTAGTGGTAATAAGAAAGCAACTGTGAAACAGGGTGCACATAGTATTAGAAACAATCCGGGAAGTCATAGTGATAGAAAGTCATCAGTTGGTGGAGAGGCTGATGCTAAACGAGTTCGTGTACAATCACTTTCCCCTCCCAGATTAAAAGTAGATCAAATTCACGCGCGTAGTGCTAGTGTGCATCCAAGAGCTAAAGGCTCGAGTGTCAGTTCTAGTGATGTACATGTGCCTGGCAGTCACCAGAGTCTCAGCAGCACAAAGGGTGAAGCACTGTCACGGAGCAGCAATAAACATAACTCGTATTCAAGGAGAAGTTGCACAGAACCAATCCTTAGTACCAAGGAAAGTTCCCAAACTAATGACAGATCGACACAAGAGGTCATTGAGAGAATTAAAAAGAATGTTGAGAGAAAAGAAGAATTCTTGAAAAGACCAAATCAGCCTATCTGGCTTCCGGCAAGCAAAACACCAATTATCCATAGTGATTATCACGTTAATCCACAGAGACTTCCACGGCCAATGTGGCCACCGCCAGCAGCTCAAACTCCACCATCTCCTGGTTCTTTAACAAAGGCCCTAAATTTTATTGTTGGTCCTAAACAAGATCAGGTACGGAAATCAAAGTCAGACGTGGATGAGAGACAATCCTCAGACAATAGTGGTGCAAGTGATAGAGGAACTAATGTACCTGGATCTCCATCATCCCTGCAGAGCAGTGATAAAACAGAATCTTCAACAGATTCACTATTACCAAGTGGAAGTGAGTGTGTTACAGAAAACCAAAACCTGTCTTCAGCTCAAAATGCTTCTAATGTATTACCTCGTTCATTAGTTGGCAATGCTGTACCCAAGCCATATAGTGGAAGTACTTCTGAGGTTAGTCCAGCTAATGCCAGATATGGAAAAGCTTTTGTAACTACACTGTCTCGCATTCAAGAAAATATTCCCATACCAGAACTTGGCTCATCTTCATCCCTCACGAGCCAAGGTCATGCAGGCAGTAAACAAGGTGATTCATTTCATGGTGTTACTCCGGGTGGAACCCCAAGTGGCAGTGAGTCTTCCCTTAACTCTTCGGTTATACGTCCAATTCCATTAGCCTGGGTGGGTGATAATGAACGCATAAAGCAGCTTCAAATTGTATCAAAGCGAGCCAAACAGTTTGAAAATAGCCAATTAGAGAAGGAAGCTTCATCAAAATCTGCATTTCATCGCTTTGAGTTGTCCCGACTATCACAGCGTTCTAAGATTCCAAACGTAGCGCAAAGGAAGCAAGAGTTTGAGAGGAGAGATGGTGACCAGCTTTCACGTGGTAAGTGAAGCTGTTCCTATTTTAAGTTATACAGATGTTTACCTAATCATATGATTAGAGGGAAAGAAAAGTAGGGGATATTGTATCTTTGTTCAGTTTTGAAGGTCAGTATTTAAATTTACAGTATGGATCATGTAGTAATTATGATGGTCCAAACTAAAAGGTAGTTTGTAGAATAAAAATAAAAATATTGTTGCTGGAACAATTTACAACTAATTAACTCACAAATTAGTCATGAAACATATATGTTTTGGTCCATCCTGAACCATTGTGTATGAATTAGTTGTGAACTGTAGTTCGTCTCAAGAGTTTTTTTATGAAAACTGCTACAGTACTCCCGTTTTACCCCAATGAATTTTTTTTGTACATATAATAATTGTGTAGGAATTTTTAATTAATGGAGTTAATAAGTAGACTAGTTATTTTAATTTACAATTGCCTGTAACTCTTCGTGCATGCCTCTTGAGCATTTACATTAGTTACCCATCAGTTTGATTAATCATTGCATTTATGAATTTTTCTAACAATTTTGTATAGAGTAGCTTATAATTTATTAAAACACTGCCTTGGGTGTACATAACTAGAATTTTTGCTTTTTGTTTTTTAACACATCGGCTGTCTCTCACAGAGGCACAGTGACCCGAAAAGAAGAAATGAAAATTTCTTTTTACATTTAGGAATGTAACTAGGAAATATTCCTGGTAAATTACCCCTGGATGTATAATACTGTATGTACTGGGTAAATGAAAATCACAGTATCACGGCTGGAACAATTTCACAACCATCACGCAGTTTGGAAAGAGACTAGGTGTTGTTTCAGTTCGTCTGTCACCATGTGTGACTTATTGACTTGATAATAGTCATGGAAAAACCCAAATGTCCAGGACAGACCCAAACATCCACGATGGACTCAAATGTCCAGGACGGACCCAAACATCCAGGACAGACCCAAATGCCCAGGACAGACCCAAACATCCAGGACAGACCCAAACATCCAGGACAGATCAAAATGCCCAGGACAGACCTAAACATTTAGGACAGACCCAAATGCTCAGGACAGACCCAAACATCCAGGACAAACCTAGACTCCCAGGACAGATCAAACATTTCTTTGCCAAATTGTAGAATAACTGTGGAACCTGTTTATCAGTTTTTAGAAGGCTTTACACTTGGTCATGAATAGGATAGAGCCAGTTCTGGTAAATACTTTTTTGTTTAATATATCTGCTCTTTCGCAGCAAGGTAGATTACCAGAAAAAAAAAAATCAGTATTGATTCACTGAACTGCAACAGCCCACTCATCTTTAAAAATGCAGGCATTGTTCTGTAAAAAACAAAAAGCCACAGTACTGTCACTGGAACAATACGTACACAAATAACCTGCACACAAGTCTATGTTGAACTGAAGTATTGTCATAAGTTTCTTTCTCCTATGAGCAGGTTATTTTTGTATAGTTCAGTACTTGCCATCTGAGCCTGGCCCATGGCTGGGCTCCAGGAGTAGAAAGACTCCTGGAACTCATCAGAGGTATATCAAAGGTATCCCAGATTCAAATCATGGTCACCAATTTCCATGAATCACTTCACAGATATTGCCATGCTCACACTTGAACTTGAATAGTATTTTAACTTCCAAAAACCACACATCTCCTCTCTGACCTAATGGTCTCACATGCACCTTCTAGACTAAATGGAGCAGGAAGTGATTGATGGAATATAACAAGGATAAATGATTCAACGAATGATGATGAATGTGTTTTTTCTTTTTTTTGATCACTCATCCTCTGTAGGAGATGGCCAGTGTGTTAAAAAAAAGTGCCTTGTAATAGAAATGGGAGAAATTAGTAACAGGCCACATGAAATATATAGAGGGTATGATAAAATATTTAAAGCATTAGACAGGGATTTAGGTGTAAATATAGATAAAAGATTGTCACAGGAAAAGTCACAAACAAAATTGTGAGAGACTCATTTGCGTCACTAGTAAACATCAAAATAACCCTCAGATGTATATGCATAGAGAAGTACCAAAATAAAGAATAAAAAGGCACAATACTGTGACTGGAACAAAACACACAACTCTCACATAGGAGAAAGAAATACATGATGGCATTTCGGTCTGACTTGGACCATTAATGGGCCAAGTCGGACTGAAACATTATCATAAGTTTCTTGCTCCTATATGCGGATTAGTTGTGTAATGTACCAAAATAAACTGCTTGCATAGTATGTTAGGCAAAATTGGAATATTCAGCAGGAATGTGGCTTCCCCACCTAAAATAAATTAATCAGATACGAGAAGCCCAAAGGCAAACAGCAAATGACTCTCAAAGCTAAGAAAAGAAAATGGTGATGAGAATAAAAAGCCGTTTAATGAGTGAATGACTAGATATCGTGGTGAGAGAAAGGAGTATAAAGAAGGAGACGAAGGTATGTACTTCGAAATTTGAGAGTGGGTCTTTTGGTATTTGAGTCTAAGTAAAATGAAGTGAATTACAGAATAGATGCAGGAAAGAAAATAGCAGGCAGGTGGAGTCTCTCCTGTGCTGGTGGAGACTCTCTGGTACTGGTAGAGCCTCTTTGGTACTGGTGGAGCCTCTTCAGTACCAGTGAAGCCTCTCCAGTACTGGTGGAGCCTCTTCACTACTGGTGGAGCCTCTCCAGTATGGTGGGAAGATAGGTTGTCACTGTAGGCAGAAAAGGGACTACATCTGATGATAGTGTTACCACAGGTAGGATTCTGGAGGTGTTAGCTGTGTGTATTGTTTTCTCCTTATTTTATGCATAATAATGCAGAAAATAGGGAGTAAGGAAATTAGAATATAGCTCTGGTGGTATGAAAAGTATAATTTAAGTGGTAGAAGATGGGTTGCTGAGATGGCTTGGGGATATAGAAGGGATAGAGCATAATATGTTGATAAAGAGGAGGTTGTGTAAATCTTGGATTGATGGAAGGATATACTGGAGGGCCCCGTTTTTGTGGCTGTTAGGTTCCTGACCCTGTGTCGTAAGCAGAAATCACCGGTGGGTGGAAAAGAGCATTTTTTCATTATCAAATGTGTGTAAACCGCAATACAGCTAGGTATGAAAAAAGAAACAGATAAAGTAAAATAAATACGCAGTACATACAATATTTACCTTAAAATATGACACCAGTCATCCTTCCCTTATGCAACTGTTGTGCAAAAACAGTGGAAGAGCAGTAAAAGTACCAAACATAATGAGTAATGGCTCATTTAAAAGCTAACGAAGTTGTGGAACACTGAAAAGAGGGTGCCGAATATGCTAGTCCCTCCTGCATAGGAAACATCCAAGGAAAGTGTGAAAGAAAGGTGTGAAAGGTTTTGAGAGGTACATTACCATCCAGAAGAAAAAAAGAGGACATGTTTGTACAAGTACACTAGATGAGTGAGCTGTGCCAAGTAATTTTTGGTGTTTGACGAGCTGTTGGAGTGTAAGCATGATGTATTTATGAAGGATTAAGGAAAAATGGTTACCCAGAATTTTGTTTTGAAGATAAGAACTACAATGTCTGCACTTTGAGAGATGGCTGTAGATATTGTGGTTCAATGGGTCATTGGCTTGCACTAGGGAATGAGAGACAAAGAATGTGATTTTTTTTCTCGTTGGGAAAAAACTGATGTGCTATAAATGTAATTACATTTAAATGACAGTAACGAAAGACATATGCACATCATTCATGCCATGTAATATATTTTATTGTTGTAATATTTGTTGTGGCAGTAGCATCTTTGGTAGCTGTAATTGTCTAACTGCTCTGTGTTTGCATGTTTAGTTTGCTTTATCAGTCTTTTGTCCTACAACATGTTTTGTTTTTGTGTTTTTAACTTTAGGTTTTGAGTTTGAATTTGGAACTCACTACAATAACTCCCCAAGGCAGCGTAAGAGTGCTGAATTAGTACGAAGTAATGTGGTGTCTCAAGATCTGTCCCCATCATCCACAAAAGTGTTTAGATCTCTCTCTGACGGAGGCAATGTCTTCCCTGTCAGTAGAAGACTCTATTCACCAGGACATGGTAAGTTTGTGTGCTATAGCTTAATATACTCTGCAGTATATAACAATTTTGTTAACTGAAAACTTTGGGAGTGGTAATTTCAACTTACAGAAAGAAATTTACAATTACTTTAAGCATTTCCTGACCTGACAGTCCTTAGCATAAATGTTTGAGTACTGTAGTTACCATTATAAATATGTACACTCTCTCATAATGCAAGGGTTATGTACTGAAAATTGCCACATAACGTAAAATAGTGTTACATGAAATAAAGAATATGTGGGAAAAATGTGGTATCGTTCCAGAAACCTCCAAAATTGCTAAATGTCTCCTGGTTTACCATTGTACTAGGTAAAAATTATTACTACTGCATAACTTACCTTATGTCAATCATGCTATCTCTATCTTGCCAGAGGCGTGCAGATATGACAGCTCAGATGTCTCTCTAAACAGCAAATATGTCTTAACTTCTTCAGAGTGCAGGCACTGTACTTCCCAACTCCAGGACTCAAGTCCAGTTAACCAGTTTCCCTGAATCCCTTCACAAAATGTTACCTTGCTCATACTCAAACAGCTCATCAGGTCCCAAAAACCAAATGTCTCCACTTCTATCTAACATGCTCACACTTTCCTGCTTGCTGTCCAAGGCCCTTGAACACAAAACCACTTGTACCCCCTGGAATTCGGTCTTTGTATGAGCATGAAGCAGGAAAGGGGGTTCTAGATTCTTTTTGTTAGCTGGACTTGAGTCCTGGAGGTGAGAAGTACGTGCACTCTGAAGGAGGGGTGTTAATATGTTGCAGCTTTTTAACTGTAGTATCAGCACACCTCTGGCAAGACAGTGATGGAGCGAATGATGATGAAAGCGTTTTTTTCTTTTTTGTGTCACCCTGCTGATGTGTTAATAAAAAAGATGTTATTCAGAATTCTAACAGGTGTTAAGTGGGACCTCTGCTGTACATAAGAGAAAATAAATCAAATTGCAGTACTATTTTTTTTATTACAGTATAGATTTTATGAGTAATTTTTATTCCATTTCAGATGGAGGAAGAAATTCTCCATCAGTCGTGGATGAATCTTCTGTTTTCCGATGTGGTATGAATCGTACAATTCCAGTTGGTGGTCCACACATTCACTGTGCACCACCCTCTCATAGACCTCAGAGTGACTCTGGTATGTACCTGCTGCAGTGTTGTTGCTGTGGATGAATGGTTTAGAAAACTGACAAATTGATAAATGAGAAACCTGTGCAACATTTGGGTATCTTTATTTTGGAAATATTTTGGCAGCCAGTGGCTTCTTCAGTCCTTTGTAGAGAAAGGTGGAAGATGAGGAGGAGAAGTTTGAGGTAATCAGTCCCTCAGCCTGGAGTTGATGTGAACATTTAACACCTGTGAACGCACTGACTCCAGGCTGAAGGACCGATTACCTCAAACTCCTCCTCATCTTCCACTTTCTTTGCATTGGACTGAAGAAGCCACTGGCTGGTGAAACATTTCTAGGATAAAGATACCCAAATGTTGGACAAGTGTCTCGTTAATCAGTATTGTTGGTGTTGTATTTACATATGCTGTATTATTATTATTATTAATACTGTATATTCAATGGAGAGTGCTTACATTGGGAGGTAATCAGATTTTGACCGAAGAAAGGGAAGGCTAGCTCCAATTCCTTGGATTAAGTGACCTTCATGTGAACCTATTAAAATGATAGTATTTTGACCCTATATTCCCATTTTTTCTGCAGGTATTTTAGAGAGAGAGCGATCAAATTCGGTGTGCTCACAGGCATCTATGACAAGCCTGTGGTCTACAAGGTCCATGGATGAAACTGGCACTGCCAGACAAAAGCCTGTAGCTCGTCAGAACTCATATTTGAGTGCTCTTCGTTCTCCTCTACCTGGTGAGTACATTTGAGTACTCTTCGTTCTTCTCTACCTGGTGAATACATTTGAGTGTTCTTTGTTCTCTAACTTGTGAGTACACTTGAGTGCTCTTTGTTCTTCTCTACCTGGTGAGTACATTTGAGTGCTCTTTGTTCTTCTCTACCTGGTGAGTACATTTGAGCATTCTTTGTTCTCTTCTACCAGGTGAGTACAGAGCTTTCAGTATCATTATGATTACACTGTATTTGCTTTCCAGTTTGTTAATGTGATACAAAATTGGTTTTATGCTGTTGTCACTTTGAGAATGAAGGGATGAACTCCAGTGGACCCCAAGTAAGTTACATCAGTAAGCCATTCATGTATTACATTGTGAGTTAGGCTTTTGGTGTAAGCTAAGGGAGTCACAGATGCTAAATCTAGTCACTGGCTTGGCCAAGATGAAGTAGGAACCCTCTTTTTTTTTTTGTCTTTTGGGTGGGAGTGCTTCTGTTCATTGGATATCATCTTATACATGGGTAGTGAGCTTACATCTGTGTATGTCTTGGTTTTGCACACTTGGCCCACCCTTTGTCAGTGGGAGAGGAGTTAACATTATTGTTTATTTATTAACACATCGGTCGTTTCCCACCAAGGCAGGGTGGCCCGAAAAAGAATAACTTTCATCATCATTCACTCCATCACTGTCGTGCCAGAGGCGCGCTTACACTACAGTTATAAAACTGCAACATTAACATCCCTCCTTGACAGTGCTGGCACTGTACTTCCAATCTCCAGGACTTAAGTCCAGCTTGCCAGTTTCCCTGAATCACTTCCCTGTATGAAGAGTTAACATTAATATCTAAATATCTCAGTGTATAGGAGGAGCCTGTTTTTATGGCTCTTAGGTTTTTGACCCCATGCAATAAGCGAAAATCACTGGCGAGTGGAAACGAACAGTTTTTTTCATTATCGAATGCATGTAAAATGCCTAATAATGTGTTTACACTATCGTATTCTAAGTGCTCAATACAACTAGACATAAAAAAAGATAAAATAATTACATACACAGTACATACAATACTTACCTTAAAATACGATGCTGGTTGCCCTTCCCTTACACAAATGTGTGAAAACAGCAGAAAAGCAGTAAAAGTACTGAATGTAATGAACAATGGCTCAATTAAAACCCGAGAAAAACGTGGAATGCCGAAAAGGGGTACCAAATACATGGGGCCCTTCTGTACTGTTTCATAAATAACTTGAAATGGTACCATGAATCATAAGATATTGGTCTTTTATCTATTTCAGCATCATTAACCTCTTTCTCATTAAAAAAATACAATTCCTGTAGGTACTGCATCAAAATTTTTAAGATTTAATAGTAACATAATACATGTACACGTTTTCCCTTTGAAAATGTTCACAATTTATCGATGATAACACACAAGGGGCTTGGACTTCCAGCAAGCGTGCGTGAGCGTGTTAGATAGGAGTGAATGGAGACGAATGGTACTTGGGACCTGACGATCTGTTGGAGTGTGAGCAGGGTAATATTTAGTGAAGGGATTCAGGGAAACCGGTTATTTTCATATAGTCGGACTTGAGTCCTGGAAATGGGAAGTACAATGCCTGCACTTTAAAGGAGTGGTTTGGGATATTGGCAGTTTGGAGGGATATGTTGTGTATCTTTATACGTATATGCTTCTAAACTGTTGTATTCTGAGCACCTCTGCAAAAACAGTGATAATGTGCGAGTGTGGTGAAAGTGTTGAATGATGATGAAAGTATTTTCTTTTTGGGGATTTTCTTTCTTTTTTGGGTCACCCTGCCTCGGTGGGAGACGACCGACTTGTTGAAAAAAAAAAAAAACACATTTTCCTGTACCCATGAAGTTTTATTACTCAGTTCTGTCTCTGTTCTCTTTATTTTGTAGTACACAGTACAGTTATTGTGTTATAGTACACAAGTTTTTTTCACAGGTAAGTTAATACATTTTACTGTTTTTGTACTGACTTAATTTTTCCAGTGATATTTTAATGCATCATAGCCATTAAGAAGTAGGGATATACATATTGATACTTAAATATTTACAATACAACATGATGGATTGAAAAGTTGGTTTACAATTCTGTATAGGTGCAGCCCAATTGACAAATAAGTTATGTACCTGATTTTTCAACTTACAAATGATCTGTTTTATGGAAAACAATATTATAAAGGATGTTTGTGTTTCAAACATGTTGGTACTGTGACTCAGCAGTATTAAAACCTTAATTGGTTACTATGTACCGTATTTTATGGCATCGACGGCACTATTTTTTTTTTTTTTTTCAAAAAAATAAGTAAGACTTGAAAATTGACCCAGCCTCTTGGAAGCCAAAGTACCTTTTATCTTTTTTTTTTCCAAAATTTAGCCACTCAGAACTGGGGTCATCCTTGACACCAGAGTGTCTTGTTTACTGGAGATTACAGTAAGTGCAGATGTATGTAACTTCGGGTGTTTGTACATTGAGGACTTTCAATACTTGTCACTGATTATATACGTTTGATGAGTGCTGAGAGTTTTTCTACTCCCAGAGCCTGGCCATAGGCCAGGCTTGTCTGGTGCTAGCCTGGTCAACTAGGCTGTTGCTGCTGGTGGTCCACTGCCCCACATATCCATTACAGCCTGGTTGATCTGGTTCAGATTCCACATGTAAATTTCTTGTTCACAAGAGTAATCATATCATAGATAATACATATAAATGTACATCTTCCTAATTGCCTCAGGCTGATAATACATACAGTGGATCCCCATTCAGTGACCCAGATAGAGACCGGAGGAATGGCTCGTTAAGCGGAAAATTTGTTAGCCAGATCATGCACATGTTGGAAGATTCCTGAGAGTGAAATTTTAATGGAATTTGAATATTTTATTTTGGTAACCTGTTGCTGAACTGAGGAAATTTATTAATACTGTATGAACAGTATAATAGAGTGATATAAATTACTGTATTATATACAATGTATGTAATACATTGTATTATATACAATGTACAGTGGAACCCCGCATAACGATTACCTCCGAATGTGACCAATTATGTAAGTGTATTTATGTAAGTGCGTTTGTACGTGTATGTTTGGGGGTCTGAAATGGACTAATCTACTTCACAATATTTCTTATGGGAACAAATTCGATCAGTACTGGCACCTGAACATACTTCTGGAGTGAAAAAATATCGTTAACCGAGGGTCCACTGTATATAAAATGTAAGAGATTTAAAATATAACTTAGTGAATAACTAAGGTGTAATGAACATTGTCAGAATTCAATGATAACCCACATGGAGACAGAAACTCAGAAGATTAATTGATCTGTATATTTCAATCTGTTTTTGCTGAAGAGGATCCCAGAAGAGGATCGAAATATAGAGATCAATTAATCTCTTGAGTTTCTGTCTCCATGTGGATTATTGAGCATAAAACTTAGTGTTGATAGATCATTATTATCAGGTATTGTTGCATCTGTCATTTTCAAAAACTCATTTGGTATTTTGTAATAAAGTTGGTAGAATTACCGACAATATGTAAAGTAAAAGGACACAAGTGCAACTAATGTGACATTTTATTGTGGCAACGTTTCTCTCTCCAGGAGCTTTGTCAAGTCGGCTTGATAAAGCTCCTGGAGAGCAAAACGTTGCCACAATAAAATGTCACATTAGTTGCACTTGTGTCCTTTTACTTTACATTTGGTGTTTTATTTTTAGTTACTGGAATAAAACGTTACTTTGATAATTATGGCATACCAGATATGTGTTTTATCAAAATAATATTAATAAAAATGTAATTATTGATCACTTTGAGCCTTTGCTCTTAGTGTGGAGATATTTGTGACATCAGTTGACATCATCATAACATCTTAATGTCAGAGTGAGAATTTATTTTTTGAAGATTTCCAATATTTTTTTTGTGGTCATGAAGGAAGTTCCTGTCTAGTTTTACATAGGTGGTGTGAGATTACAGCAGTCGGCACCTTGAAGCCATGAGGGAAAGCGAGACAGGTCATCAAGGGTCGTGTGGGTTAATTACACTCCTCCATTCCTGGTAATTTTATTGGTACACTTGTTGGGTATTGTAAGTTTTCTGGTACATTTGTTGGGTATTGTAAGTGTTCTGGTACACTTGTTGGGTATTGTAAGTGTTCTGGTACACTTGTTGAGTATTACAAGTGTTCTAGTACACTTGTTGAGTATTACAAGTGTTCTGGTACACTTGTTGAGGCACCAACTGGTTCCTCTGAGTTAATGTAATATAGTAAGCATTACTTCTGATTCTTTCCTATTAGAGGCCCAGGAAGCCAGAACGGTAGGGCGTTGAACTGTCAATTTGCAGACCTCAATTCATTCCCCTCATCCACCCTTTGTTTATTCGTATTTAATAAAAACTGACAGACTGAACGCCTGTCTTCAATACTTGAGGGACTGATCACCTCAGACTACTACTTCATGTCTTCCACCTTCAACAAATTCATCAAAGTTTGGGGACTGATCGCCTCAAACGTTCTCTGCATGGGACTGAAAAAGCCAGAAGTGGGAAAAAAGTTTCTACAGTAAAGATACCCAAGTGTTGCACATGCGTCTAATTCATGTACATTAGGGTTTATGGCACACTAACCTGGCATCATAGCACACATTGTAGTTGTTGACTTTCCCGGTCGTGGCCAGGGTGCGACCTTTGCTCACTCTGCTCTCTGACACGAACACATTACACAATCACAGGAAGTTGAGGAAGGAAGGAAGGAAGAAGGTAGTGTTCTGTAAGATATAACAGGTAAGTGGTGTATGGTGGGGTGTCTCGCTGTGGTGTATAAATATACCTAGTTGGGTGAATCTTACTGTAGTCAGCTGGCCCAGTAGCTTATGCACTGGCCTGGAGTTTTACGACTCACTTGCCATGGGTTCTAACCCCACCGGTACCCTGTTTTTTTTTTTTATGGTGGAGTGTGTGTGGTGTATGGTGCGATTTCCTCGTAACACAGTGGTAGTGTTCACTTCATTAC